AGGAGGGGGAGTTGGGAGGGAGGGAGGAGTGAGGAGTGAGGAGGGGGGGAGGGAGGCGGGGAGGGAGGCAGGAAGGGATGGAGTCAGGGAGGGAGGGATGGAGGGAGAGAGGGAGGGAGGGAGGCAGGGAGGAGGAGGAGGAGGAGGAGGAGACGGAGGAAGAAGAGAGGAGGAGGAGGTGGAGGACTATGAGTATTGTCCCCCTTCACCACATGAATGTTTAGATCAAACTGGCGTGGCGGGCATCAGCCTGGAATGTTGCCCCTCGCCTCCGAAGGGCATGTCTCCTGACTTGGTACGTGTGACCCCAAAAGAGCGCAGGTAGAGCTCGAGCAACACCTGACCTGGAGCACAAGGCGCTGCAAGCGCACCAGGCACGCGATCGCCATCCGACGAGCTCAACCCCGTGGCCGCTAATTGGCAAGGACATTTGACGATTTAACCTGACCCTTGCCAAGATGAGCCGAGGTGCCAGTCTTGATGGCGGCGGGACCACGTTGCCATGAGCCGACACCGTCTCACCAACAGCAAACACCAACCGACCAGGAGATCAGAGGTGGGCCGAAGGCTTAAGATGGAGGCACACAGACAAATAAAGCAATCAGATCCAGATTCCGATGGCGGAGGGCCAGGGGAAGCCTGCTGAGCCTGGCCGCCCTCGCTCCCAAGCGCGAAGGCGACTTCCCTGAACGCAGAGCGAACGAGGCCCGCAACTAACGCCTCAATCCGCCTTTCCTCGGCATCCGTTGGGATACAGGAGCTGAGGGCCTAGGCCTGATAGCTCCTTTGTCTTCCAAACCCGTGGTATCCAATGGGCAAAAAACTTGGAGCTGCGGAGCTGCGGCAGCTTAGGGCACCTTCCCCTCGCAACCACACTCCAGAACCAACTACCAAACATTGAAACCTTCCTAGTACATAATTCTGTCAAGCCCTTACAGCGGCCGTGAGAACTATACCATTTGCAAAATACATATATGTATTTATAAATACATATATATATATATATATATATATATATATATATATATCAACATGGTGGGTCCGTCACTGAGGGCTCTACACCGGTGATTACGACTGGCGATGTTTTTCAGGGGGAGGCCCCTGGGCCCAGGACAAACGGACCGAGGAGGGCGCTAAAACCAGAAAACCTCGTGCAACCGGAGAAAAACACAGCACCTCCAGAAAATGCCCATGTGTCACCAGTCGTGCTGTAAACATACTCGAGGAGGCGGACGAGGAGGCGGACGAGGAGGCTCAGGGTACTCAACCTCCACGAAGTCCTGACAGGGAGGAAAACTTGGGGAGAAGGTGTATAGCGATAGTGCAACATGCGCGCACGCATTCCACATGAAATGTGAGACGTTCCTGTGTTCGGACTACTATGAATAGGTCGGGAATGGGTCCTAATCATATTTTCACTATCGGAAACGAACTCAAAAGATCCCGTCATGTTTTGATGAAAGGCGGCCAGGAAACCATCAAATTCTCCAGAATGCGGCGCTCGAAGCAGATGATCACAGACGGCTCCCGAAATCCTACAGATCATGAAGAGGAGGCGGAAGAGGAGGAGGACGAGGAGGAGGAGGAGGAGGAGGAGTTGGAGGAGAAGGATGTGGAGGATGAGCGCAACTCAAAACTCATCGACGAAGTTCCAATAACAAATCCCTTCAATATCCCTCTTCGTAGGTCCCTACAAAAATTCACGTTCACTGAGGGAAATGCCCCGTTGAAAAACAATCGTCCGAGAATCCTGAACCGTGCCTGGAAGCCAATCCTGGGACTCCATCGCTGCACATCAACGTTATGTTGCGCCCTGGCGATCCTGATGGAACGTGCCAGGCGGCCCTTCCTGGGACTTCAACACCGCGAATCAATGCAACTGTCGCGCCCTGACAGACCTACATTGTGCCATAACACAATTTCTAGGACGTCATCCTTGAACTTGCTGCAAACTCTTGAAACGAATGTGAGCGGCGCTGAGGCGATAACCACATGTTTAAAAAAGGTACCGACCTCCATCCGTGAAACACTTGCAACCTTTAAAAAACAAGTTGCGCGGCGTTGAAGCGATAATCACATATTGAAAACTACCTGCCTCCATCCGTGCACCTCGTTCAAACTGTTAAGACGAATGTGCGCGGCGCACAGGCGAAAACCACATGTTGGAAACGGCCCGCCCTCCATCCGTGAAGTTGCTGCAAATGCTCAGGTTCAGGGTGGTAAATGGCGTGGAGGTCCCAAGCGAAACGCCCAGCCCGCCCTACCCGCACGTCTCGGGGCGCGACACTGAGAAGCTCCCAGAAGGAAAAGCGACGGAGGATACTTCGTGCGCCAGGGAGGACCATCCAAGGCTCAATTAACGTGGCTCGGTGTGGCCAACGCGCGGGGGGAAGCGGCGGCGACGCATCTCTACGAATCTGGCGCGAAGCATGGCGAGCGCTAGCCGGGTGCGCGCCGGCTCGAAGGCTGCACTGTCCATGCAGGCGTCGCGCATGGTTCCGCGTCCGAGCAGGGATGGAGGAGGTGGAGGAGGAGGAGAAGGAGGAGTATATAGGAACCAGTCATGATGACCGAGGTGGTGGATCAAGGCGGGACAGGAGCGGAGAAGGGCGGAGGGGCGGAGGCGGGGCGGCGCCTGACGGCGGGCGCCTTGTCGTAGGCGTTGATCGCCCCGCGGCGCGGCCGCGGCGCTCTCCCCTCTTTGCCCGCTCCCTCTCACCCTCCTCTCCTGACGCTCCCGTCCCCAAGTGCACGACCCTGGGAGGAGTCCCTTCGAGATCCTGCTCAGGTTCTGGGACCCCGCACGGCCGAGCCTGAGCGCACACTGAGATCCCAGCTCTCGAAGCTGGGACGTGGAGTAGCACCCGCACACCAGGCACCACAACAAATCTTCATCGGGCCAGAACGCCAGCTGGTGAGATGCGTGCACTTCCCTCGAGCGGACACACACCGAGCCCGTGGGCCGAAAAAGGGCCCCAGTCCAGGTCATCGGACAACACGGGGTCCCAAGAAAGGCCGACAGCTCCGAGGATTTGGCACGGCACCCACACCGACGGCACTGACCAAAAGCAGAAGAGAGCTGGGGACAGGAATGCTCAGAGCCCAAGGCGGCTCTACGGAACCGCTCGCTCGCCGACTGACGCAACCTCAGTTTGGGAAGGCGCGGCGGACGGCGGCCCTCCTGCTCCAAGACATCCCCCATCACCGCCACAAGGTGGTTCTGGACTTTACGGGCCAGCCCGTCCGCAAACCTCACAGGCGCGGACTGACCAAAACGAAGCTGGACGAGAGCGGCGAAATGACCCGCAACCTGGTCCGCCACAGCATTCGCCAGCACCACCCCTGGGTTCAGACCGCGGGCCAGCGCGTCGGCGACAGACAAGTGGCTCGGAATCTGCACGAGAGCCACAACACCCACGCGGGCCAGAGCGCTCTGGACACGACCCCACACATCACGGTGGGTCAGAACACGCTCCTGGAGGCCAGCCTGGGTGCGCGCAAAGCCCCGAGCAACATACGCCGAGTCGCACACATACCCAAGACTCGAGCCGTCCTGGGCGGCCTCCAGGAAAGACACGAGAGCCCACAGCTCCCCTCTGTTCACGGACTGCTTACCAGCGATACCACCCCCACTTAAAAATCTGATACCAATGTCAGACACATCCAAGGGGGTGGTTAAAACATCATGCTCAAAAACCGCGACGCCCCATGACACCCTCCTCAGACGCTTGTCCCTCGAGAAGTCCTCCCCGCTCGCATCTCCAGCGCCCCAGATGCGAGTTCCCCCATCACGACACGGAAACACACCCGAGGCGACAGAGAGCGGGAGGTCGGGAGGAGGAGGCACATCGGTCCAAGATCGGGGCACGAGACCGCGTAGCCAAAAGCAAGGCAGCTCAGCAGCGACTGACGCGGCCTTCCTGGCGAAAGCCTGGTCAATTTCCTGAAAGTTCTCATTGCACGGACACTCCCAGAAACGATGGATATCCGTCTCAGGGGCGGTGCCGCATCTGGGACAGAGCTCTTCGGTCTCACCCCCACAGGCAAGGATGCGAGAGCGAGTCCAAACACCCCCAGTAAGAACGGCACGCAAAAGGTCCCATTTCTGGACGGACTTGCGACGCAAGGAGGCAAGGTGCTGCCAAGCCACCGTCAAGTCGACCCCTTCTTCGGCCCCACTCCCGTTTCTGTACGTGGCGGCAGCCTTCCACAGACGGTTGTCAATACTGCGGGCGACATCTTCTTTGAAATCCAACGTAATATAAGCGGCTGTTCGCAAATGTTAAACTTAATTTCATAAAATACAGATGCGTGTGCACGTCGACGCCGTACCAAAGTTGCGATTTGAGCTGCGTGTCCCAAAAAGCGATTGGGACCTTTTGGTAATACCACCCAGAAGTCGCCCCTGCCATTACCCAGGCATGAGGGCCCAATAGGCAGGGGCGGACGCAGCCCCCCAGATGAAGCCAATATAAGCCTGGGATCGGAGCTCATCGGGAACAGCGAAGACATCACCCCCAGGCGCCACCCACGACCAAAGCCCATCGAGCTTCCATCCCAAGGGCGTCATCGTCGCCACAACCGCTGAGACAGGCCCCTTGATATTATGCCACCGACGGGAGGGCCCCAGAGCAGAGACGCGAGCAACCGTGTCCCCCCAGCAAGTATGCATGCGAGCAACACATTTTTCTGGCAAGGACGCCACGATCTGAAACCACGAGTCGAGCAACTGGAACACAGTCGAAAAAGCAGGGTCCTTTCTCCGAACCTCCACGGCAAGAAGCGTAGTTAAACACCGACCCGCATTCCCTCGAGCAAGAGATCTGGCCAGGGCTCGCCGCCAACTTTGGAGGAGGAGGAGGACAAGGAGGAGGAGGAGGAGGAGCAGGAGGAGGGAGGAGGGACGAGGAAGCAGGGAGCAAGGAGGAGGAGGAGGAGGAGGAGGAGGAGGAGGCGGGAGGAGGCGTCGGCATGGGCAGCGGCGGCGTGCGGCCCGAGACCGCCGCGTCTGCGGCGCAGCTCGCCCGCTCCTCGCTGATCGGCACGCGCTGCTCCGCCTGGGCCGCCGCCGCCGCCGACGTCGCCTTCCGTCCTCCGTCCTCCGTGTTTCGGGGACGCGCAAGCATGGATCGGGGGAGGTGCCCTCCCCAAAATGCGGCCGGTGCCGCCTCGCTCGGCGGCGGAAGTCCACCACTTCCCATGGGAGCGGGGCTCGTCGCTGATCCACGCCCCCTCGGTACATGTTTGCGATTGCCTGGCATGCGGTCGGACCTGGGACGGAAGAACATCCTTCAAGAACACGTGACCCTCCGCAGGCCAAACTGAATAGCATTCGAGGGTACCGTCCCCCAGGATACACAAGACCATCCAACAAGCACAAACAAAAATTAGGGTACCCTCCCCGAAGCGACCTCGATCTTGTACCTCGGTCGACCGTACGGCAAGTTCGCGTCGTGTCGACCCCAGCATTGGTTCCTGACACCGCGGGGATCTTTCAAGCGTGTACGATCGGCCGTTTCAGAAAACAAATGTGCCGATTCTGCGCCACGGGCGGCGCTCAACCTGAAACGCCCGCGCTGAGGTCGCTGCCAATCGACACGACGCGAACCTACCGTACCCCCTTCCCCCCGCCTTGTGCTCTCCCTCCGAGGTCTCGGAGGGAACCGCGAGGTCACGGCTGGGTATGTTTACAACTCCACTCCGCTGGACCTCCCAGGAGCCCACGAACATGGCGACAATTTCAAACTTCGCAGCCCCCTCAAGGAGCCGGGGGATCTCGGCTGGGTGTGTTTACAATTTCACTCCGCTGGGCCTCCCAGGAACCCACGAAAGCGGCGACGACTGTGCACTTCGCAGCCCCCGTATGGGAGCCGCGAGGTCCCGACTGGGTGCGTTACAACTCCACTCGAACATGGCGACAATTGCGTACTTCGCAGCCCCCCCAGGGAGCCGCGGGATCTCGGCTGGGTGTGTTTACAACTTCACTCCGCTGGGCCTCCCAGGAGCCAACAACAGTGGCGACAATTACACAGTTCGCAGCCCCCTCAGGGAGCCACGAGGTAACGACTCGGTGTGTTTATGACTCCACTCCGCTGGGCCTCCCGAGAGCCCACGAACATGGCGACAATTGTGCACTTCGCAGCCCCCCAAGGGAGCCGCGTGGTCCCCCCTCCCAGGAGCACGCGAGAGGTAGAGTCACAACGGGGCTGCAATGCGAGCAGGACGAAGGAGAGAAGGAGGGAGGAAGAGAATGAAGAGGAGGCAGAAGGCAGGAAGCAGGAGGCGGGAGGCAGGAGGGGGGGGAGGAGGGAGGAGTGGAGACCACAACGTTCTAGATTCAAACCGAGAACCCGACACAGGTGGGTTTGGGGCAACCGACAGGTACCAATCCCGCTACTCCCTGGACCTCACCTGGGGTGCGTTCTGACCAGAATTTCGAAGCGAATCCAGCAGTGGTGATGAGGGCCGCCCAGGAGGCCCAAAAGGGGAAAGCGAGGCAAGGGTGGAGGTATGGGTACCTTTTCCTCCTCCGAGGGTTGGCAACAGCACATACAGTGTGGGCGCGGCCGCAAGACACCCTCGCAAGAAGCCCAACCCTGAGAAATCCGTGCGCGAGGTGCACCTGAGGGGAAACCTGGAGCACCCTGAACGCAGCAGCTTCTTCAACGGCTGCGGGAAGCCACCGCGCAGCGCGAGGAGCGAAGAAACCCAGGACACCCTGACGAAACGCATTTGGCTTCTTGATGCGCGCCGCCACTGGACATGAGCAGTCGCAGGCCTGCGCGGATTTCTCGGATCGGCGCTGGCCTGCCCTCCCTGGCGCGCGGAGCGCGCCAGGGGCGGCGCCAGAGGCGCCGCGCCGCCGTGGGGCTCCAGCTCCGATCCGAGAACCCGCGCGGACCTCCCAGAGTTGATGCTCAGAGTTGTGCCCTTTTTTTCTGTTCGCCGACGACCGCCAGGGGGCGGGGGGGGGGGCAAATCGATCCCTGGTCCTCTCCACGTGTGCGCGCGCGTTCTGGCCGATTCCGAGGCGGATCCGGCCGTGGCCACGAGGGCGCCCTGGGACAAGCAAGAACCTCCAGAATCCGAGCCTCGAGCCGGGAGACCTCCAGGCCTCGCTCTCGTGACTCTCGAGCCTCGCTGCCTCCAGGGGGCAGGACCGCGGTCTCCAGGGGGGCGCCCTGGCAGCAAGGGCGCCCCACTTCGCGCGTCGGGCTGCGCGAAGCGTGAACAACTTCGCGCTCTCGCGCCGCCCGGAGCCGCGAAACTCGAAGCGCGAACAACGTCGCGCCCTCGAGGGCGCCCGTGGGTCCTGGACCCCGGACGCTTCCCCCAAGACCGGCCTTCCCATCCCGAGTCCTTCTTGAACGGTCACGGGCTTGGGAGGGGCTCTGGGAGGCCAAAAGCGGTAAAATCTCAGTACGTTTTTCCCTCAGGACACTTGTGGCGGCTCTCGCGTTAGGTCGGGCATGTCCCCCTACAAGCGGATTTTGGGTGACAAATTAAAGCACGCAACCAAATGCCCCCACATAGTCACAAAAATACAAACAATAACCCCCAGACGATAAAAAAAACAACGATTCTAGACTATTCCTCCTGTAGGAACAACCTCGCGCCCTCGAGGGCGCCCGCTGGGTCTCCAGGGGGAGCGCCCTGGCGGGCGCGCGCCAGCGGCCCAGGGTAGAGGGCCAAGAATCCACCCCTACCCCCGGAAACAAAGACAACCTTTCGACCAAAAAATGTGCGCGGCGCCGAGGCGAGAGTGCCATGTTTGAAAAAATGTGCGCGGCGCCGGGGCGAGAGTGCGATTTTTGAGAAAGGGGATGCAGCAAGCCGCCACTCGAGAATCCCCCGCCCTCTAGTAACCACCCCGACGAGCGAGGCCGTTTAGGAAACGCACCCAAAGGAGGAATCAAGCTAACCCGGGGTCAATCCAGACCCGGGTCAGTCAAGCCTTGCAAGATCCTGTAAGAGCCTTCACCCGGGTCAATGCGAAAGATCCTCCAAGATCCTGCAGGATCCTGCACCCAAGCCCGGGTCAGAGCGACCGTGCAACTGCAGGATCCTGGAAGATCGGGCGCTCTGGCTGATCCCCGTTTGCATCGACCCCCGTCTCTTGAGCCCTGAGGTACCCTCCCCAAAATGCGGCCAGTGCCGCCTCGTTCGGCGGCGGACGTCCACCATTTCCATGGGAACGGGGCCCGTCGCTGATCCACGCCCCACTGATACATGCCTGCGATCGCCTGGCATGCGGTCGGACCTGGGACGGAAGAGCATCCTTCAAGAACACGAGACCCTCCGCAGGCCAGGTATCGGCTCCCGAAGTGAACGCCAAGGCGTCGGGTCCCGCCGAGGAGGGGAGGAGGAGGAGGAGGAGGAGGAGGAGAAGGAGGAGGAGGAGAAGAGGAGGAGGAGGAGGAGGAGGAGGAGGAGGAGGAGGAGGAGGAGGAGGAGGAGGGGAAGGAGGTGGTTCTTCCTCCCTCGACATGGGGCCCGAGCTGGCGGCAGGCTCTTCCGCGGGGGGCCCGGCCTCCCCGCCACGGAGGGGTGGGGGCGGGGGCCGAGGCCCGACGGGCGCGGCCGATCGACCCGCTGGAGGAGGAGGGGCAGGAGGGGCACGAGGAGGAGGAAGAGGAGGAGGAGGAGGAGGAGGAGGAGGAGGGGGAGGAAGAGGAAGAGGAAGAGGGGGAGGGGGAGGAGGAGGAGGAGGAGGAGGAGGAGGAGGAGGAGGAGAACGACGGGGCAGGAGGAGAACGACGGGGCAGGAGGGGCACGAAGAGCAGGAGGAGGAGGAGGAGGAGGAGGAGGATACACCGAAGAGTCATGATGACAAGTGAGGGGTTCCAACGGCCAGGCCCCTGGGTGGCGCACTGGACCGACCTCGCGATGATCCACCACCTACGCCACCAGGCCTGGGATGATGATGATGAGGAGGAGGAGGAGGAGCAGGAGGAGGAGGAGCAGGAAGAGGAAGAGCACCAACACTGTCTGACCAAGCTTTCCAGGCGCTGGCGCTGTCTGGCCGGGCTTTCCAAGGAGGGCCAGGACAAGCACCGGGTCAGTCCGAAAGCAAAACGGTGTTGGTCAGCCCAGGCGTTGCTGTCTGCAGGCGGAGGTGACCTGCAAGTCGGCCCATCAGCCTGACACGCCCGTGCTCGAGTGGCATACCGAGTAACCCGCTGAAGACTCCCCGCTGCTGAACAACAAAGAGTAATGGCAAGGACATAATGTTGCTCACATCGTACTTAAAGACCACATCCAAGAAATAATTTCGAGCACCCAGAAAAGTGTCGAAACAGTGTCGAACGAGCGTCGCCTCCCAGGGCCAAACACGTGAAAACCTTCAACATGTGGTACTCTCTTGGAAAAGACGGCGATAGCTGCATTTTGGAAAAGACTCGCACGGCACAATGTGTCGCCGGGGCCGCCGGACACGCCAAGCAAGAGCTCCTCGCCACAGCAACCGCCTCGCCTTCTACGTTTTCCCCACGGCTCGGGCACACGCGTCGGCGAACACGCGCAGCCAAGCAGAGCTTGCAAAGGGGCGTTGGCGCACGTGGAGACGACTTATCTAGAATCCGCCACCCCGCGCTGCGCGGCCGTGTGTGTGTGTGCGCGTATGCACGACGCGTCCATCTCTCGCCTCTCTTCCGCGTCCGCCGTGGCCCTCGCCACCCTGGCTGCCGCCCCTCCTGGCCCTGTTGTCCCGCTCCGCTTGTCGATCGAATGGCCCACGCTGATTCGTGCGGCGTCGGCACGCGCAAAGGTTTTTGACACCGCGTCGATCGTTCAACCTTGAATCGACCGCGACCCCGATCGTTCAAGGTGGAATTCAATCGGGTCAAATGGCAGTACCGTGCCAATCGGTGCTTCCGCGTCGCAGAATTCAACCTTGGACGCCTTCGCCTGCGTCGCCGGCGCGCCACCGCCGCACGAACCTACCGTAGGCGCGTGGCCGCCGAAATAAACGCGTGTCCCCGATGGGATTCCAGATCCGATCTCTGCGGCCCAGGTGATGTCCACGCCCTGCCTTCCCTTCGGCTCACTGCTAAGCCCA